TACTCGTTTTCCTTTTGTGCTAACTGTTAAGCCACATTCTCGTCCGTACAATATAACTTGTAGTTATTATAATGTGTAGTTTTACATTACCAATAGCAATTTAAAAACAGTTTCACTTGCTGGTGAAAAAACTAAGAATATAATCGTTTAATGCCTTTTAAAAAATAGAAAACAAACAACGCGAAAGCAAGAACTCTAATATAATTCTCATGAAGCTTCTAGTTTTAGAGTAACATTACGTATATTATGCTTTTGTAAAATGTAAATATATTCACCATTAGATATATAATTATAGATACTTTTTGTATTCTTACTAACAACTAACTTATTTAAAATATGAAATATTTTGATTTCTTTTCTTTTCTTCTAAATTATATTTTTTTTAGATTTAACAGGTGTATAAAAATGTATTACATTTTAATAATGTGTTAAGCAACATGTATCTATAATAGTTGAACATTATTTAATTCATTCATATTTATTTTTATAAGCATAGTATTTCATGTACAAATATACAAAGTAAAAGCTAACATTATATTTATCTATATCTCAGACATGGTTATAGAAATGGTATTATTAATGTGTGATGAAATTTAAAACCGAAAAATAAGTACGAAGAGTATTTTTAAGGCAACGACTATATGCGTTTATAATGTTTATATAATATGAGAACGCATAATCAGTGATCCACCGCAGTTCTATCATATCAATTAATTATGAACGTATACATACACGCTACACTAATATTTCTGAAGAGATAAAATGACCACGGTATCTATTGAGTATAATAATATTATTTTTATGAATATTAAAATTTAAAGTTAAAACCTTACAGAAACAGTTCATACTTTAATATTGAAAACTGTTTTTTTTTCTTTTCTTTTTTATATATAATACCTATAATATAATATAATACAATAATTACAACAGTTTTTCACTTTTATAATTTTGTTCTTATAAAAATATTACCATATTTAATATTCTTAGTAATTAAAGAATGCTATTTCTATTGTCAAGGTTCAACAGTATTATACCTTTTAAGTTGTATTATTGAGAGTTTTTCTCATAAATTTAATATGGATCTAATAGAGCAAACAAAGATTAGGGTACATCTAATATAATATTAGAAAGATTTTGTACCTATTAAATATATTTCTCATTACGTTAAGCAGCATTCATTGAAGTGTGTCTAAATATAAAATAAAACTATCACAATAATTGCTTGCCTACTATATAATTAATTCACGATATTATTATTATTCGGCTGTCCAGTGAAATCATTTAACAGATCATTACAGCTCATAGTAATACAAGTATTATATATATATATATATATATATGTATGTATAAAAGGGCTTGTCTCATAATTTTCATTACCTATGTTTTTTTCTGCATTTATAATATCCATGTCGAAAACGATAATCGATCAGTAGATAAGTTTTACCAGATTCGTGATAGAAATTGACTAGAATACACGATGTTGACTATTTTCTATGTAAAAAAGTCCCGACTCTCTTCGAACTGGTCAGCACTTAATGTGCCAATCAGTCAGGTTATTGACCTCGGTTTGAAAACGCCATTGGTAATTGGAAAACTTTCATTTCAAGTAGTTGGAATTTTTAGACTTGTTAACCCGTTTGTACTATCAGTGTTTAGTGAAAATGAAAGTAGAATGAAAAAATTACTATTTTATAAAGGAAAATCAGCAGTCGATTACTATTTACTTCAAATACAAATAATAAATAATAAAATATCAAAATAATTTTTTTTATTACATATTATAGTATTATACGAGTAATAAACATACATAATTAGTTTCAAATAAATTTATTATTTTGTCAGGTATTTATGTATACAGAGAATAATAAATTCAATAACTAATTATCAACAATAAAGGCAAGTTAGATAATATATTACTATAATTTTGTAAATGACTGTAAATTCATTAAAAATTAATTGTTTTATATTTATTTCCATACTAAATGAAAAAAAAAAATTGTAAATGTACCAAATATTAATTGTTCTTTTTTTAAATATGAAATATTTATTAAACAATTATTATTTTTCTCACGACGTGCTATATTTTTTTTCTAGTAAGAAATTAATACAAAATTCAACTATTTGGAACGGTTTTTGAAAATATTTTGATGAAATTAAATAGGAATTGAAAATTGAATTGCTGCAGTTATGTTAAAAAAAGTATTCCTACGATTACCTTTTATTGATTCAGATTACCACTATTACTAGTCAGTCGTATTACCTATGATATTTGAATAAATAGGCAATATTCTAAATGGTTGATTTCTTGTTCCAATTTATGGTCATTTTATATTATATTTGATGATTTTTTTTTTTTTATTCGACTATTTGTAACTCAAAACACGGTTATTGCGAATAACACGAAACGATATAGTAAGATATGCGTCTAGCGTGAAACCAATTAAAGAACTAAAATCATATGTTTTAGATGGTAGTAACCTAAATAAATACATTATATATTTTTGTGTTAAGTTTTAGGTTCATTTATTAATGTTTAACACAAATTGAAGTCGTTATAAGTAACCTTCAAGTTTAATTTGATTTCCTATATTGTATTATAATATAAAAAAGTAATAAACCATACCAATACATTAATAAGATATTATGAATTATGTAAGTTAAATATGTTATATAGTCCACTTGGAACGAAGCCTTCAACTTTTTTTTTTAACTAAACATAATACTAAGTCAATTATTTTAATTATTACTTAAAAATTATTAGTGATTTTATATAGACATACAACGACATTTGAATATATTAATTACGAATTTAAACATCCATAGAAAGCTATTAAATTTTGCTATTAGTGTTACAAAATAATAACTAATCTCGGATAATGGGATATTATAATGATAATAATTATATTATCTGTTTTTTGGTACAAGCTATGAACATTATGACGTATAATTAGGTTTGTTAGGGTTACTAAGATCAAAAAAATATGCCATCATTTAAATTAATTAGTTTTCCTCGGTAATTATTAGTGCAGTGAATAGTCATGCTGACGGTCTGTGAAAATTCATAATACCTAAATTATTTTGATGATTATCGTATTTTTATAATTGAAAATATCGATATTATTTCGAAAAATAATAAACATTATATATTAAATACTACAAATAATTAAAATAGATTCGTGTAAGTTGTTATCAAACTGTAATTTATACGAATATTGTAAATTCGTTATTTTATAACATCAGTTACCTATTATTGGTTCTATCATAATTAAGTATTACTGATGATTAATCCACCTTTACGTAAATTAGAAATAATGTAAAAGTTTTATCATCTATTTATAAAAGCGATGGATACCTAACCGATCTTTAATAATTAATTTTAAACATTTAGCGATTACTTTATATAATTTTGAACATTAAAATCCAATAGATAACATACTAATGTTATTAAAATTTTAAATTGAACTAAAGCCTTAGAATTATCATATTTTATAACTCAATATTTTTTATATCCCATAAGCTTTGACTTTTTTGGATATTGATAAAAGAATAGTTGATTTTTTCTTACAAATCGTTATAATACGACTTCTTTAAACGTTTTTTCAAAACTGTATTAATTTATTTTGTGATATTCTATACCAAAATTCGTAAATTTTCTATTAACTATTAAATTTCTAAATTATCAAATTATTCTACGCAAAATATATAAACTGGTTTTATGACTTGTTTTAAAACGAAAAACAACTCATTTGCCTATAATTTTAAAAGTATATATTATATATAATATTATACAATATTATGTACTAAACAAGATGCGGTCAAATAAACTAACTGTAAAAGTACCTAACTAAAACAAACTTTACGTGGATAGAAATACCAAAGTTATTTGAATTATAATTTTAAAAAAGAGACCTTAAAGAATGATTTTTTTCCCTCCTATCATTATAATTACCCATAATAAAGTTAACGTTCTTTTATTTTACACAATTTAATGATAACCAATAAAAAGTGCCAGTAATTTTTTAACATTTCTGTTTTTAATTTTAAACCATTATCTTTACACAATATATATACTACTATAATATTACCTATAAATGTCTTTTATTACAAAAAAGTTATAAATATTCCAAGTAAGTACTCTTCCATTTAAGTGATTGGAACAATTTATTTTATGATGTTAATAATTCAAAATTATTAATTTTAAACATTTAATATTAAATGTATAATTAATTTATAAATATAGGAAATACATTGAATATACATTAACACCTAAGCAATAATGTGTTATATTATGTAATGTAAATTTTTAATGTTTGCGGTTGTTTACAAAGGGCATTGCCCGATTGTGATATCAAAAAAACACATTCCCGTAACCGATTTATTTTTAATTAATATATATATATATGTGTGTGTGTGTGTGTGTGTGTGTGTTTAATGATTATTAATCTCCAGTCAAAACCATCGTATAAACAAAAATTGACTTTTCCAATAATATACTCTCGTGGGAACTTAACCTCTGGTGATTTAGTCAACGACACGCAGCTTGTGTTCATCTAGATGTATTCATCGATCGCTGAATAATAAAAATCTTTAAATAATATTTCTCTTTCAACAATGGAGTACCGAATAGATTAATTTTTCATTGCCTATTGTTCGGATTCTACAGGTATTAAGAACCATACATAAAATGAAATGTCTCCGAACACACTGACCACCATACTGCCTGTATGACACGGACAAATAGTAGGTATAACACAACGTCAAATATAAATATTATAATATAAACAATATTTAAATGTAAGTATCTAAGTACTTAGAAAAATAAACCCCATTAAGATCAAAAACCATGTAGTACCGACCATGTTTGGTCATTTATTCCTTTAATGCTATATTATTATTTAGGCGTCCGATAGTTATTACCAAAGAAAATAGTTACACGAACCCGAAAACGTATATTATTATACATTTTGAATAGACTATGGTGTCACGGAGGTTGTACTCACTTGTATTTGATTCCTTCTGACTTCGTAGTATACCCAATTGTCGGTAGAAAAAGCGATGGCCAGCAAAGCCGTGGCTACAATGGCCGTGATGGTGGCTAGTGAAAGAGTGACTGCGGAACAAGGCATGTTTGCTTAGTTGTATTTAGTAGGCGTTTGTATGTGTCCGCTAGACAATGCGACGACAATAATTATTGTGTTTCGACGACGAAGATATGAGATAGGTGACGATTCCTGTTTCGAATTTTATCGACCGTCGAGATTTTACCACATTTTCAAAAACAGAAAAAAAAACAAAACAATTGAACAAGCCCGTCCGCGGTGGGCGATGGTGATATTTATTTAAATTTGGAGTTCGAACACGCGCACGCACATACAAATATCATACGCACACCTCGTAGATCACACAAAAAAAAAACACTCGCTCGCTTGTTACAGGAATATACACCGCACACATACACGACAGACAAACCGGCTGTCTCGTACAATAGTGGAGACTCAGTCTTAACGTGTACAATTGCTCGATGGTCCTCCCCACCCAAAACGTCTCTCTTACCCTCTCGCCATCAGTTTCTATTACTCTTTCTCTCTCTGTGTCACTACCTCTCTCTCTGTCTGCCCCTCGTTCTATCTCTTTCTGACTCTCAGTCTCTCCCAGACTCTCTCCGGTTTCTCGCAGACGGTCGTGCAGCAGGTTTTGTCAGTTTATACACCTGCAGCTGCACCATTGGCGTTCCAACAGGGGGATAAACGCGTCCGACGCAGCAGCAACAACAACAACAACAATAATAATACAAACAACGGACAATATAGAAGAAAAATATTTTTTACTCAGGCTTGGTAGACTTAGGTTTTAGATATACGAATATGCGATATAAATATTATTACTCGGTTATAACTTTTAACTTTAATGACATTATTGTATACTATATTATTATGTAATACATACCCACGCGATGTGAATCTAATGTCTATCGTGCATTTGTACTCCCCTTCTCTCGCAGACATTTGAATAACACGAGTCCATACTTCATATTATTATATTGTATCGAACAAAGAGGCGGTAATGTATTTATGTTTTTCTGGGTGGTCTCGTTTCGGTAGAAAAGAATACACAAGATAATTACACTTAATCGAGTGATCAAAATTTTGAATAAAAAAAATGCTATATAGTTGGCTACCGCTCTCGTTGTAAACAATAATAGATGACGTGTATATTCTAAGTATTACTCTGTGAAAGATGAAAGCATCGATAACGAATTTTGCCCATAACTATTTTCTTTTAAATATTTACTGTTGGATAATTGGGTATAAGTACAATGTTAAACATAATTTCTTATTTAATTAACATAAAAAAATGAGTTATCATATTTTTAGTGTAAAGTATTGGTGGTACATTAAGTCGTTTGTCATAGGTATAACAAAATTTATATAATAAGTTATGACTAAATCGAAAAAAATCAACTTTTCTAAACGTGAAATAGATATTTTATTGATAATTAAGTAAATTTAATATCAAATTATATTTACTTCATAATATATTAATAAGTATAGTTTTAATTAAATTTTTTTAGAAAAAACATAATTAAACTACAGAATTTATATAAAATGTATTGATATTTTTTAGTTACATAAAATTAATCATATTTCATTAGATCGATTACAATGCTTAAACAAAATAATATTTTTAGTCCCCGAAAAAAGATGAATAATTCTATGCTTTGCTTTTCTTATTTATTTTTTTATTTTAATCTATACGGTAAACGTTTTACAATTAAAAAGTATTATTATTATTGTGCAAATTTTCATATAATATGTATGGCAAATAAAATAAATCCATAATGATCCAATCCAGTAACCACAGAACTATTAATACATCCAATTTATATTAAAATATTTAAATTTAAATGTGTTCATAATGTGAATTATGCTGAATATGCCTATAATAAAATCTAAAACAATAAGATGTTAACTAAAACCATTAATACAAATAATATATAAAACATAATATCATTATTATAATACATAATAATAATAATAATATGTAACCTAATCTTCATTAATAAATTACTTCTATTACCAGACGCATATAATGTAAATCCCACACATAAAATTTCATCAATGAACAAAAATGATTAAATACTGATTAAAATAATTAAGTTATAAAACCATTTATTATTTTTGTATTAAACTTGTATTTTAATGAAAACGTGAAAAAGTGAACATTTATAATAACTATTTTGACACAATTCTAAAATATAGGTTTTTATTAAAAACTATGTAAGAAATTACACTTAAAAAAAACTCAACCTATTTTACCAAAGTAATCAGTGGTGGATCTAGGATTTTTATTTGGGTGAGCCCCAAAATTGTTCATTCTAGTTTTGTAAACATAATTTAGGATTTGATTTTAGGGCCGTTAGATTTTAGAAATATAATATAACTGCCAAGAAGGCAGAGGGGGCAGACTCGTTGGCCCCCTTGGATTTGTTATTGGAAGTAACTATATACTTTGTTTTGTTAAAGCAATTATTATAATAATTAAAAGTTATATGTATTAATGCATTATGATATGTTTTTTTTCTGAAAAAATGTGTTTATGTATTTTACGTATAATATATAAATATTAATAAATAAAAATTAAAAATGTTTTCAAAATATTTAGACATGGAATTTTAAATTAAATTTTGTAATATAATACCTAGTTACTTTTTAAATTATTGTAAATACATGTACTATGAACATAACATTATATATAGTATATATCCCGCAGCCGCATACATGTCCTCGAATAAAGTATAAAAAAATTAATGTAATAAGATTTTAATTCTTTAATTCTTTAACCATTAAAATAAACTTATAATAGTAAACAAATTAATTAAAATAACTAAAAATTTGTAAATAATTTTTTTTTTAAATATACTTCATTATTTTGTTCATATTATAGCTTTAACTTTTAAAAATTAAATGGTGATTCCACGTTTGATAACTTATAATGATACACGTTTAATGGAAAAAAAATATTTATTGTATTTAAATACTTCTAAATAATATAATTATAAGATTTAAAAGAATTATGGCCTAATATTATTCTCAAAACTTTCATAATGACGAGAACACGCCGTGAGAAGTATAATATAATACATCATGTACTAAAATATAGTATGTATTCAACAATTGTACATTTATACATAGGTTCATGTATTATAATTATGAAAGAAATAATTAATATTAATAACAATTTAAGGTAGTATAAAATGTTATGTTTTTTTTTCAAATAAACAATACTCAACCATCATTAAATACATATTATTGTATTATAATTAAAAAATACAAATTGTTTCATATTATTCTTGTTCTGTATTTAAATTAATTTTATTAAACGTATTTTTAAATACAATAATTTATAAGATATATTTGGATTACACTATACACTAGTATAATATAATTTATCGCTTAAGAATCACTTCCATCTCAATTTTGTTTTTGAGAAAACAACTGACAAAAATAATGACGTTTATGAAGAAACATATTTTCTTTTTAATAATAAAACTATACTCAGTAATTATTATTATTCATACGAACCGAGTACTGAATATGAATACAAATATCTTAATTTAAATACTCATTTAATATTTTGTCAACTGATACATAACCATATTACACTACTTTTTTTTAAAACCAAATTATTTTAAATCAAATATTTATTTGTTTTTTAATAAGACGGCCCCTTCTGAAATATAATTTGCTTAACTATAAAGCAATATGTTTATTATGTCTATAATAATAGGCGCTAACAAAATCATTAAAACATTAAAAAAAATTATATATGAGTAAATTAAGTTGCCTATAAACCAGGAGTTTACTATGTTTACCATCAAATCACATTTTAATCGATATGACGAGTAAGTGTCATTTATATTATCATTATTATTAATGTAATATATAATATATATATTTATATATTTATTCAAATTACTAGCTAAGCAATATTAAATGGATTTAATATTATTATTTACGAACAAAATTCAATTTAAAAACAATATTGTATAATAATATTGTAATACAACAGTGATGGTGATAGGTGAAGTTATGGCAAAAAAATAAGATTAACATGTATATGTAATAAATTATTACAAAGAAAACTTAAAGCTATTAAATAGATAATAAACATCAAGGAAAAAATAAATAAATTTTAAAATATGTACGATATGTATGTTGAACAGCACCAAAAACACTATTCAAATCGTTAAAAATATTTAGTTTTTATGTTTAACTTAATGTAAGTTAGCCATGAATATTTTTGATTAAAATTTAATTAAAAATATAAATAATAATTATTATTATTTTTTCCTTTTTATGAAGTATCAAAAATAAGAATATGATGTTCAAATAACTGCATTGTTAATAAAATAATAGTTTTTTTTTTTTATGAATTTAATATTATTTTCGGAATTTAAAAAGATTTAAGTAAAAAATTGTCATTAACCAAACATACCAGTTGCCCTCAACTGAATGTATCAATTGCCCTCAAGCCTCAAGATAATATATACACGATTAAAATATCGATTATACATTATTTATAATAATTACAGTGACATAATCGTAATTTATCAAAAAATAATTGAATATTTTTACAACAAAAATAATTTATAAATTAAAAATTGTCCTTTCTTTTTACAAGTTACATTATTTTTTAGTTACTTTATTTTATAAATATTGCATATTGCATTGTTAATACATTTTTTTAAATTTTCATTTATTCACATATTTATCTCCCCTAGTACACATCATGTTTGGTGCTGTAACCATGTAAATTATGATTAAAGGCATCTGGTACATTTTACTCTAAATATTTTAGGAAGAATTAGTATAAAAACAATAATTATAAAGGCAACTGGTACATCCTTTATTTTCAAGTTAAATATACTATAACTATTTCAATTATCCTATTGATATAAATATCTTGAATGTCACAATAAATAATCCTATTTGTCAAACGATTGTTTTAAAAATAATAAACAAAATAGAATAATTTTATTCATTAAAAACAATATAAAATAATATGGGGTCAATAAAATTATCTTTTAAAACATTGTTATGTTTTGGTATTCATATATGAATATTTTTTGAGTTAGCTTGGTTTATTTTTTAACCTTGTATTAACAAGTAAACTATAAGTGAGTAACAAGAAAATAATTATACACCTTTCAGATTATTATTGCACTGCTAAGATCCTTATCATTTTAAAAACTCATAATTAATCGTTTGTTGATTTGATATTCAATAAAAAAAAAAAAAAAAAAAAATTCTACTTTGTTGTTTAAATCAAAAATCGTGTTATGATTTAAATTTAACACGCCATTATATAACAGTATTAAACTATATACATAGGTATAATTTTATATTTTATTAGATAAATTTAAATTGTTTATCTTAGATTATCAAGATAATTAAGAGTCATTAGTTCCAAGTAATAATAATCTATACAGTTACGTT